TATGTATATATATATATATATATATATATATATATATATATATATATATATATATATGTAAGTATGTGTATATATATATATATATATATATATATAAGCTCGATACCATAGAGCCCCCCCCACCTAACAAATCCCAATTTAACCCCTGCATGAGACAATAAATAAGGTTTATATTCCGCTTTTACTCAAAACTCACTTTAAACCACCATCGAGTGTTTGTAATAACTTCCGATTGCCGTGTGTGTTTGGCCATGTATTGTTGCTGAAATTAAATATGATTACCTGTGATTAAATATGAGTAAGAGCAGCGATCATGCAAGAGAGAGCACAGGCAGACAGCGCTAGAAACTGCTAATGCTCATCAGTAAATCAGTGGAAAAGGAATAGAAATGATGATTCTTTCTGAGCTATGCGTTTTAAAACGAACACGCACTAGTGTAAATGTAGCTAACAGATGTGTAAACTGAAGACTATTTGAGCTTTATTAAAACTATCTGAACTGATTTATTGTGTTGGTTACATTTTGTTCCTTTGTGCAGTGGCTCAGGAGATGAGTCTTTGAGTCTGTATAAACATCAACAAGCTGAAAAATAAAACCAAACTTTTTTTTTTTTAGATAATGTAATCTTGTTAAAATAGATTTCATAAAATTGGTATCGTTCAGGAACTGGTATCGAAGTCAAGGTATCGGTATCGAAAATTTTTGAACGATACTCAGTCCTATGCATACATACATATAATCACACAATATATATCACACGAATATCACGTACAGAAACACTGAATGACCAACAATGTCCCGAGCACTAAGTTGTGTTAATATACCATATTTTAGTTCTAACTACTAAAGTTCTATGATATAAATGCTTGATTGACTGTTGTTAAAAAGTGTACTTGTTACACCCTAGAGACAGATCCCCTGTGAAGACCTCGTCGACTATCGGCACAAGACCATGAGAACCAGACGATCAATCTGACGTGCATTGCAGCCTGGAATTAAACCACACCGTGCTGGTTTCTTCTGGCCCGAGGAGAACTGGCACCCCAATTGAGCTAGCTTTCTCCCAAGGTTTTTTTCTCCATTTCTGTCACCGATGGAGTTTTGGTTCCTTGCCACTGTCGCCTTTGGTTTGCTTAGTTGGGGACACAATTTCTGGCAAAACTGTTGACTGCACAGACACTAATGGAAGAGAACTGAACTGAGCTGGACAATGACATCACTGATTCAACAATGAACTGACTTTAACTGATACACAGACAGTTTTCTATTGTACTCTTGCATTATCAGCACACGTTTTTCCTGTTTAACACTGTAAAGCTGCTTTGACACAATCTGTATTGTATAAAGCGCTATATAAACAAAGGTGACTTGACTTGACATGCATAACAGTCACAGACAGAGGGAACTTAGTAAATTAAAATCTGTAAATAAAACAATATAAACAATGAACATTACTAGACATAAAAAATGCCTTGGCTATTTTACCAGCAGTCTGATATTGGAACTGAGAATCATGAAATTTCACTGGTAACTTGAAGATTGAAATTCCACAACTGAACATTTCTGATCATAAAGGTTTACAGAGATAAAAGCAGAATCCAAAAACAAATTCAAATGCCAGTTCATTTATGATGAGTTTACTCCTACTATAGTTTTATGTTTATGTACAATACTTAAATATACCTTCATGTGTTACTACCTCTTTCTGATTCAGCAGGGGTCTCCAAACTCGGTCCTGGAGGGCCAGTGTCCTACTTCCCCCTTGTCCAAATACCCACACTTGCAGTCTTGGCCACATGAGAGCGCATGCGCGTGACAGGAAGTAAGTGCGCAAGACTGTCCCAGGTCTTAAAGGGGTCCTATTATGCTCTTTTACAATGTCTTGAATTTGTTTTGGGGTGTACTAGAACATGCTTTGTGGTTCGAAAATTTATTTTTTACATAATTTACATTATTACAATACCTTTCTCCCCAGCCTGGCACAAACGGCTCGATTAGTTCCGAGTTTGATGAAGGCCTGCCTTCCGGAAAACTAAATGTGATGTGATTGGTGAACAGCTTAGACAGTGTTTCAGTACTGCCCCGCCCCTTGCCAAAGCAGCAAGTTCCGTCTGGTCTGTTTAGTTAAGGATTGCTTTGTCACAATCTGTATTGTTAAAAGCGCTATATAAATAAAGGTGACTTGACTTGACTTGACTTAAGGATGGCATCAATATTGCCATATCAATTTTGAGCCGGATTCAGACCCAGAGAATATTGAACAAGAGGATCGCGCAGAACCTTTGCACACACGGATATTGCAAAACATATTAGAGTGGTAAAGTTATTCTTGTTTTTTTGGCTAAATCACGTTTTAGCTAGGATGTCAACAACCGCTTAAAAATAACTGCATTTACTATATACAGATAAGTGCATATATATTATTTTTATTATTATTTAATTCTAACATTATAACATGAATTGCAGTGAAACTGTTATAAAGCTGAATTTATTTAAACCCATAGTCCAGTGTTTCCCAGGCGGCATATATATGCAAACTCATTCTCTGCCAGCAGGAGACGCTGTTGGAGTGGTAGAGATCAAGGTTTCCCCAGTAAGGGCTGTACACAAAGCAGCGCTACGCTAAAAAAAAAACTGCTTTATCAGACATTACATGCAAGATTAAATGAAAATGACATCCGATTTTCTGAAGACAGTCGGTTTCCTTTAGAAATACAGTGATATAAAAACACCCGCACTCAATGTATGGGAAACACTGTAGTCTCATAATTGAAGTGTAAATTCTGCAGATTACATCATTGCCCAGTATTGTACTGTCAGCAATTTAATTTAAAAACGTTTTCATAATTGTAACACATATTTACAAACATAATTATTCAGGTGGATGTGTAATAACTAGCGAAAACTTGAGGCTACAGCAGCACTTCTTCGTCATCGTTTTGTCTGATGCACTGAACCAAGCATTCTAACCACGACCTCGCCCCTCCCCAGCCCCCAACCATTTGAATTTCCATAGGTGGGAATTATTTTAATTATATTCTAATGGGCCATTTTGTGATATCACAAAACCCGGAAAACAAACGCTGTAGTCCAAACGAGCCGTTTGTTGTAGTTCTTGAAAAGAACTCTGGAGCGGTATTCAAGGCTTTTTTTGTCCCATCATGCATCATGTTGTGGAAATAAATCATGAGACTTTTTGCCGAGGTCTCGCGAGAGGTCACGGAAACCTTTCCAATGTATGTTAAAAATGAATAATAATTAGATATTACATATAATTTGGTAGTAAAACAAATATTTGCATGTTTTATTGGTGCAAATGAATAGTGGTGATAATTATTTTGTACAACATTTACAACTGCTTTTTATCACTTAATTAGAAGCACCACAAAATTAAATTGTCATCTGTTATAGGGACTACTGAACAGACATTTAGTAGTTGATTTTAAAATGCAATGTATTGAAAATAAAAATAAAGCTCTGTAAACGCTTGCATTTTTGCAACACTATAAGTGTGTCCCATCAGGTAACGAAAAGTTCTACACACACTTGTGGTCATCATGCGTACACACTTGAACACTTGGACCAAATACAGGAAATACGTAATTTAAGTAGGAGAGTGGTCAAGACAGCAAGTGCGGGTATTTGGACAAGGCAAGAGTTTAGCTCCAACCCTAATTAAACACACCTGAATCAGCTAATCAAGCTCTTACTAGGCATACTAGAAACTTCCAGGCAGGTGTGTTCAGGTAAGTTGGAGCTAAACTCTGCAGGACACCGGCCGTCCAGGACTGACTTTGGAGACCCCTGTGATACAACCAATGTTCAGCGTTCAGCTGGTGATCTCAACATGGCAGGCATCATGAGGAAGGAACATCCTTATTAAGAATAAATAAGGTTTTGCTCTATGACTTATGACTGAAGTTTTTTCATGGGAGTGCACAAACGAATAAACAAATACTCAAACAATAAGTGCTATTCATACTTTGCTAACTTTTGTGGGTGAAAAAACACATGTAAAAGGCCTGCATGATAAAACGTGTGTGTTTGAGGAGAGGAAAAGGACAGTAGTGCTTGATCTCACACACTTTGTCACCATCAGTACTGAATTACAGGCTTTGTTTATTATTTATATTCATTAATCATTCAGTACTCCTCCAGCTGCTCTTTATTCTACACTGTATTTCAGAGTGCCATGGTAAATAACACACGATGCAATGGTAAAGCCATTTTCATGTAAGGGTGATAGTGAAGCACACCACTGTTTAAAGCAGATTAATATGAGGACTCTCTTACCTGACAGCCCTTCTTATGGTGAAATCCCACCACCACGATGTGCAGCACGGGTTCCTCTTTACACTGAGACTCCATCTGCTGAATTATAATTAGATCAGAGTCCAAAAGAGAAGGGAAAAAACAGTAAATTAAGCGTTTAATGTGTATAGTCTATAACTTCCGCACCCTTGACCGTCAGTGTGTGTATGTCACGCGATGCTCCGCCTCCAGCACAAATAAACATCCCGGACGAAAAGCAGACATATTCCTGGATGCCGACAGAGGGCGCGCCATGGCTCGCAAAAATCACTTATCAAGCCATCATCCATGTGCCGGTTTAATTTTTAATTTTAGTTGATTTTAATTATAGCATTATTCTATTCATCCATTAATTTTCCTTATAATTTCTAAAACATCAGTCCTCCATAGGTATTTTATAGATAGTATATTGTATTTTATTGATATTTTAAGAGTAAGTAGGTGACACAAAATAAAACATATTTAACTAGATTCACCTTATGAACAGGAACTAAGGTTTTCAGCATCACCAACTGTACAGTATAACACTAACAGTGAAAATAATTAAACCATTAATGTGCAGGCAGGTCAAAATTATTGGCGAAATTATATTCCCTTTTATTTTTTGAAAACAAAACTCATGTAAATACGATTTTGTTCATTTTAAAAACTGATTATCTGTGAAGCAAACTGGGTGAGATCATTTCAGTCACAAATACATGTAAGAAAAGTCACTTGTTCTAATCTAGGCAATTTGTGCTTGGGTCTTCCTATACACCCGCTTGCTTGCACCACCGGCTGGTGAGCTGGCTAATAGCAGATGGAGATTATGCATCGTACTCTACTGCTATTCCTGTAGTTCCCGGATGTGGAATAGTTAATATGCTGCTGAATTTGAACCACAGGGTGCTTCTCAAATAAAGCCTGCCTGCATCCTACCGATGCGTCCTTCCAAGCTCAGTCCTTCAGAGGCTTGTTGGCTAGAGTCCTCGTCGGCATTAGACGCTAGAACGAGACAGTCTGTAAGTGCGCGTGGCTACGTCACATATGTTCCCGCCCTCAACGCCACGGCACGAAAATACTAGGTGCGTTCGACAAACCGCTTGCCATATGCGCCAGCTGAGTCCGCCGGCTGCTCTCGAAACGCTATCGCGGTAATTTGGTGCCACATGTGACAGTGACGTGGCGTCGGCTCCGGTGTTCTGAAATATTCGAGCAGTGTCCCAAATCGCTCACTCGTTCACTCATTCAATCCCATATAGTGTATAACAGTTGAGTGCACTAAATCAGAAAGGAGTGAACGAAATAAGTGAACGGATTCGGACGGTGACGAATGCACGTGAGACTTGGAGCTGTTGCAAAATCATCTTCGTCACATATATTACATGTAAGTAATCAAAATATTAAAGAACAAAAGGTATAAGAGTATAATAATGATTCTAACATAACACTAAGCCAAACACCAAAACAACTACTACTGTACATATGTGCATGTACAGCCACACACACACATACTGTATATGCACATACACATTTATAAATTCAATATATATATTATTTAATTTCCATGTAGTTTGTTGAAGTATTAAAATAACTCATTAAATAGAAACTAAAAACTTAATAAAAGACCTATACAGACATAATAAATTCAGACATAATGTAACTAAAATTAAAATAAAGAACAAATACAAAAATAAAAATAAAATAAAAAAATAACACTGCCAAACACACATGCTAAAAAAACAACAACTTACTTACACATAGTAAGAAATGGTTATTAAAACTGACACAGAAGTGAAACAAGTAATAGGAAATGGGAGAAATGAAAAGCGATACTTATCTATCCTTTGCCTGAGTCGATAGTCTTTACACTCTTCGGTCTTCATGCGACGGCGGTCGCGGTAAACTAAGCTTTTTTATACCAATCTAACAAAATACTAAATTAATTCAGCTGGACACACTTTCCTTATTTTCTCCGCAACAAATGGCCAAGCAAGCGCAGACACTGACAAGATACGCGATACAGAACGAGACCAAACGCAATATCAGCATGTCTCCACATATTAAACAAAACAAGCGTTTCCTAGCAACGACAACTGCACTAAACACTAATGAGACAAATAAATACACTTACCAGCTGCTTTTAACTTCCGCTGATAAAGACTGCTTCTCTCAAAGACTATTTCTTTACACTGTTTTCTGCTGGCGCTTGAACACACTTTCCTTATTTTCTCCGCAACAAACGGCCAAGCAAGCGCAGACACTGACAAGATACGCAATACAGAACGAGACCAAACGTGCTATTAATATTAAACATATTAATATTAAAGGGGTCATATAATGTTGCTAAAAACAACATTATTTGGTGTAATGAAATGTGTTTATGCGGTTTAAGGTTAAAAAAACACATTATTTTCCACATACTGTACATTATTGTTTCTCCTCTATGCCCCGCCTTTCTGAAACGCGTCGATTTTTACAAAGCTCATCTGTCTGAAAAGCGAGGTGTGTGCTCTGATTGGCCAGCTATCCAGTGCGTTGTGATTGGCGGAATACCTCAAGCTTGTGACGGAAATGTTACGCCCCTCACCATATCGTCCTCTTTTGGAAGGCCAAACAAAGTAGTTTCGCTTTCACAATGAAGCACACAGCATCTCCACAACATGGCGGCGGAGGCAACAATACTACAGCGAGAATAAAAGTTATGCTTTCTTTCTTTGCGTGAACATTTGGGCGGTGTTATGCAAATCTTCCCACATAGTGACGTAGACATGTGGGGGTGTGTTAGAACGAGCTGTTTTAGGTAGGTGTGGCTGACTCTTAACTTTTATAAAGAATATCTCTTTGGATTTGAGACTTTAGTCTTTGCAACTTTACAGATCTTCTTTATGCACCAAGAGCTTGTAACACTCCAAAGAGAAAGGAAACTTGAAATTGCATCATATGACCCCTTTAATAGCAATAACTCTCAAAATTACTTTTTTGTAATTATACATACCTCCGTGTCAGCTTTGTGGTTTCGTTGATGGTATTCATTTGTTTTGTAATGCTTTTATGTTCATAATCATACTGTTAAAATACTGAGAACAAAAATAAACACACATTAACACATATTCATAATTGTATGTATTTATTATTTTTAGTATCTTGAAACTCTCCCGAGCAGCGTTTTGAGCTCAGATAAGATAATGGTCGTAGAGCGCCCTCAGGCGACCGTTAATTTTACATCAGCTACCTGCAGCCCAACAAACACATTTACGTCGTGTCAACGTCGCTTGCCCTCAGGCGACAGTTAATTATACATCAGCTACCTGCAGCCCCAACAAAAACATTTAGTCGTGTCAACGTCGCTTGACACGTTCCATTTTTACTGTGGCAACGTTGCTGTCTACGTGCTCCCGACATTGTAGAAACGTTGAATTGTAAGACGCGAAAGGGCTACGTTGTTGCGCGACATTCAGCAACTGCGAGACGACGTTCCGACCACATTTATTTTTATGCCAGATTATAAATATTACCTTTTCTGCGTCTTATTTTTTGTTTTGTTTTTTTGTGGTGAATCTCTTAATAATCACACACAAGATAAATATTTAATACTTTTTCAAATACTGTTAATCATTCATTGTTCTTTTTAACGTAAAACCTGCTATGAAACTTTAAAGAGGAAAAATGCCATACAAGTTCATATAATCCAACTTTATTAAAACATTGCATAGCCTACATATAATTACACTATATGAATTTTTAATATATTTAGCTCAAATATAATGGACTACAAATAAAAAGGCTTAAAAAAGGCATTTGAGAACGTTTGCTGTCATGTCAATATCAGCTGTACAGAACATTAAAGCAATATTAAAAAACTCGCACTTGGGTTTTTTAGTTTGGATTAATTTAGTGTATATTAAAAACATCGATTTGCACTTAACTGTAGCCTTGAGACTTTGAGGGAAGAAAAAAAAAGTGCTTAACCAGGGCTGGACAATAATAATAAAATACGTATCTTGGCGCATATCCTCGAAAACAGTCAGTTACTGTATATCATAATTGAAAGTAAAAAGTTGAGAAAAATCGTATATGTGTCAATATATTGGGCGCATGCACATCTAAAGTGACCTCACTGCTGTCAGTGTACTTAATGTTAACAAAACAAAAAAAAAACACTCATTGCTCTTGACTGATTAACTTTTGTAGCTTTAACAATGATTCATCTATATTTAATTTATACAGTGAAGAATATGCAATATTATTACATTTGTTTATTCAATTTCTGTACCTGATCACCTACAAACTGTTCTATTTATTGTGCCATTGTTTGTAATTTGTTCATTTGTTTCCCTTATATTTACCTTATATTTAACTAATCTAAATTTTTGCCATAAGTTTATTTATGAGAATACAAGATAAGGATCAAAAACAACAATAAAACAGCTATTTTATTTTTGTGGCAGGGCCAGTGAAAATGTTGGCTGCGCAAGAAAAAAGTATAATATATTATACATACATATTGTCAGTAATATAATACATTGTCAAAATACTCACATTAGCCTTTCTCCTAACCAGACCTGGTGCATGTTTAAGGGTCTCTGCAAGCTGGCTTTCAGCATCCATGCTAGTAGACCCAGGTTGTGATTTCATTATTGCCCCTAAATGGTTTAAGTAAAGTTTTTAGAGATGAACAAGTATACTTTACATTTGAACAAACAGGTATTCATCCCATTTGTATTGCCAATCATGTAGAATTCTGTCACTATACTGCAATGCCTCTTGATATTAAATCAAAGATAATTGAAAAACAATAGAATATACAATAAAATAAATGCAAATACTGTTGATTTTTTA